TACATTACAGCAGGGCATATGAAATTGTCGTTTACAGACACCATAGCAGGAAAGGGTCGCCGGCGAAGTCCGAGTAAACTTTTCCTTGCATATTCCACATGCCATATCTCTTCTCGCACTTAAAGATTTTCTTATTGTACATTACCAATAAGTGATATATTTGTTATTAACGCCACTTAGAAGTAATCATAAATTAATAAACAATAAATTATCAGAGCACATTTACGCACGACTCGACTCGGCAACGCAAACTTAATTTTGTATTTTATTGTATTGTCCTCTTACAAATAAAGTTGATACATCGAAATCCAAAAAAGTTTTACTAAAATTACCTGTATGAAGATAGAAACGGCAGTTAGCAAGGGAAAAAAACATAACTTAAGTATTCCTAAGATTTTAAAAATTCAAAAATGGTAATATCTACACTGATACCCCTTAAATTTTTTATACATAATAATGAAGGCCTAAAACAATTGCTTCTGGGTATGGTACAGTAAGGATCACAAAACTTGACAATGGATACACTTTTCCCAAATATGGAAAAATTTACCGTTTCTGAATTGATACACCCTGCATTGTTCATGTATAGTAGAGCAATGTTCATAAAACTTGATGTTGTTCTTACTTTTTTCAGAACTCCATCGGGGGAGGTGAAAATAATTCGTAAATTTAACGTAAAATTATTACTCATTTACCAAGATTAAAAATACAGAAAAGTGTAACGTTTCTGAGTTGATACACCCCATAATTTTTAATATAAGCGGAATGTTTAAAAAAGTGGATTTCACTCATTCTCAGAAATTATTACTCATTTACCGAGATACAGAAAAGTCTACCGTTTCTGAGTTGATACACCCTGAATTTTTTATACAGAGTAGAGGAATGTTTATAAAATGTGTCGGAATGTCGGAAACAGCTTTGAAATATGCTTAAATCCGAATCAATGTCACTTTCTAGTTTTTGTTTGAACTGTGATTGTTGAGACCCATAGCAGCCCCATTTACTTATTATAGTTAGGCAATCACGCTCTTCCTCCTCTACTAGGTACTCCGATAAACGCCTAACGGTAACATCCATTAGAGGCTGTAACTGAGCTTTGGCACTGGTACTCGTTACCATTAAAGATTCTTGAGGTGGGTAACATTTTTTTTGGCTTTTTGTAATGCATTATAGCACGGAAAAACTTCTTATTGGTTTTTCTTATGATTTCGTACTGTCCTTGCGTCAAATCGGCATCTATAAACATTTGCAAAGCTCTTTACTTGAATTCGTAAGATAAGCCTTTTTATATTTAGTTGCTCGTGTCAGAGAACTGGTGATATCTTTTAAGACATTTGATGTATCTTTTTTACCAGGCTTTTGCAGCTCCACTTTCGCAGCATGTATTATGATCTTTTCAAAATTAAAACGCAGTTCTTCTTTCGTCTTTTGCTTCTCTCACTTGCGTCTTTAAACGATTTGGATGGTCGACCTGGCCGTTTTTGTGAAGCCGAAAACAGGTATTTCAAAAGTACCTTTCAGCCAAGATCGGTTGTATTTTATAAAATTATCTTCTTTATAATGAGCTTTGGTCCACCTTTGTTTAATTTCTGATTTGAAATGGGCAAAACCACGTTTCAAATTAATAATTTGATCTTCATTATAACCTTCACATGACAAAAGTTGATCTTTTAGATATTTTAATTTGGCATTTAAATTAGGCCAATTTTCTTTCTTCATGTGGTCATATAAGTATTGTCAGGTCACAATCCTTACTCCTGATGCACTCTTCAAACCTAAAACAAATATACACCATGTTAAAAGCCGCTAATAAACATTTCCAATTTTATACGAAATTTTGATAAATATCTTTGAATATTGCCTCAAAGCTATATTTATCCGACGTTTCCGGACATGTTTTTGTTCGCATTTATAAGAAAAAAGATCATATAATAACCTATAATGATAACTATAGCTCGATCTACCCCGATACATAAACAAAAACACTAGAATAATTTTTTTTTAAGGAAATCACTGTTATAAAAAAATTATATTGCCTAATAGATAATCATGACTTTATTAATGTAGTTTGGAAGTTTCTTACCTTGTCCATCAGAATCTATCACTTTCAATTCGTAAGTAGAACTTAATAACACAAAAATTCTCTTTAGAAGTAAAACGGATTCATCCTCTGTTCGTGGAACTCGTTATTAAAAATGTTATTGTAATTTTGTTATTGGGACTATTGGCCGCGTAGATCGCGCAAATACCTGTATGTGCGACGTAAGGAAATAAGAGAAAATTTAGTTTCTGTGACTGTTATTGTTACAACTTTAGGTAACTTCTTTTCTCCTGAAACGGATTCTACGCCTAATATAAACAAAAGCATGTGGATGCTTAATTTGCTTTCATTTATCGGAATTACAAGTGGTTCTATCTGAACCTCTATACTATTATCCAACTTCCATATTTTTGCTTCAACTTTTAGGCCAGTTTTCGGGAGAAAATAATGATATTCATTAATAATATCTACACATGTATTGGGAGATCTATATATGGCACTTAAAGTAATCATTTTATTGTTGTGTTTAAAAGATACATTTAGTGTTATTATGTCAAATATTCTTACGATGTCATATTATCTTCGATGTTTGATTTAATACATATGATAATACCATCATTTCCGTTCCTATTACCGTTATTATATAATAAATCAAAACCAGCAATAGAAAAACATTTAGATCGTAGTTTTTGTTATATGTTTCTGTAAAGACTAGTTTATCAATATGCATTTTAAACTGTTTTAGAAGTATTGACAATTCATCCCAATTTTTTTCTATACTATTAATATTCATATGGAAAATTTTGATTGAATTAACATTTGATTTACTACATGTATTCAAATTATCTACAATAAATAATTGATACTTTTTAAATTCAGCTTGTGCTTTACCAAATACAATATTTTCTTCTCCTAATTATAATAAATTCATTTCCTCTGCATATTTTGTTATAACGTAAGAATTACATACCTGAATCTAATAATATTGTAACAATTTTACATTTATAACCTGCATATATGTATATTTAATGTTTGAAAAGAGTTCTTGATACAGTAGTTGTTACGATGTTTTAAAGTGTTTATACATTTTTACCTGGTTTGTTAACAATTTTGTCTTTATTTTCATTTGCTTTCTTTTGCAAGTCAGTACACATAATAGCATAATGTTTTCTTACACAAATTATGCATTTGACAATATATTTACGAGTTCTGAAAGAATGATTCAATTTTAGACAAGAAAAGCAATATTACAGTGGTCCTTTTCTGGTTCAAAGTCATATTTTGTGCTTTTTTACAGTCCTGTTTCTCATGTATTTTATTAGTCGAGGCAATGAAGCACTAAAAAGGCCAAAGTTCCTGGGTTTTTCTGTGCAAGTCGGATCGGAATGCGGTTCTTTGCATTTGCTTGCAAAAATTGCATTGCTGCAGCCAAAAATGCATTCAAAAAAGTGCATTATTTGAGAGTCCTCTTGGATGATTTCAAAACATGTTAAATAAGTGTCAGAACTAGCCCAGATCGGGTGCTCAGGGGTTTTCGAGGTCGCTGATCACGATTATGATGTCTAAATTGACACACAGCCGACCTGAAGCTTAGGAACGTCGACGAACGTCATCTTCGTGGGACTCTCCCAAAATTCACGCGGGGAAGGAGGGCAACTAGGCGATCGGGGTTTTTTTGGGTCGCTGAATCCAAATATGGCATCGGCAAATACCCCCCTGACACCTGGTACGCCCAATCCTCGACCTCGACGTCATCTCCGAGAATTTTCCTCACAATATCGACAAGAACAACCCGAAAATAATTGAGCGGAGTTTTTTGGGGCGCTGAATCTAAATGTCACGTCGAAAACGACCCCCTGAACACCTGGTGCACCGGAACTTGGCTCTGAACACCATCCCTGAGAGGTTTACAGACACAATTGAAAAAGACGAACCGAAAATCGTACCGGGGGTTTTTTGGGGCGCTAAATCCGAATTTCACGTGGAAAACGACCCCCGAACACCTGGTGCGCCCTAACCTGGCCCTGAACGTATTCACCGAGGTTTTCCAGACCCAATTGAAAAAGACGAAACCGAAAATCGTTAAAGGGGATTTTTTGGGGCGCTAAATCCGAATTTCACGTGGAAAACGACCCCCCGAACACCTGGTGCGCCCTAACCTGGCCCTGAACTTCTTCACCGAGGTTTTCCAGACCCAATTGAAAAAGACGAACCGAAAATCGTTAAAGGGGGGTTTTTGGGTCGCTGAATTCAAATATGGCATCGTCGAACACCCCACGGACACCTGGTACGTCCGAATCTGGACCTGACCGTCATCTCTGAGAATTTTCCTGACACAATCGAAAAAGACGAACCGAAAATCGTGAAGTGGCGCTGAATTAGAATCTCCGAGGGTTTTACAGTCGCGATCACAAAAAAACTCCCCAAAACATAATTTTATACATTCATTCATGTGTAACTCTCCCCTGGGGCCCTAGAAAAAGTTCATCCATTCCTGTAAGAATGACGAGATTAATCTCCGGCTACAACTCCGAACTTTGCCGAGCGGCTTTTCACTTTTCTTCCAACACTCAAAACGCTTTTGTCTAGGTATACAAAGATGCTTTCTCCTAAGTTCAGGCCCCATCTACCAACGCGTAGAACGTGCAGCTGGCGGCAGTAGAAGACCGTTACGAAATACATTACCAAAGTTCCATAGTCAGAAGAAAGACGTGTTTCTTTTCTTGATATTTTTAGAGCATTTATGATGCCACGAGATATATTTATGATAAATAGTGTCAAGACCTTCCAGAACTTCACAGACCTTCGAGATCATGCTGCGAATTTCAAAGAAGCTGGTTTGTCCAGCGAAACAATTTTTGAGAACGGGGCGCAGCTAATCTTGGCAATGTACAGTGCTCCAATGTCATTCAGGAAACCTAATATTCCTGAAAAGCCAAAATGGAACCAGTTACTCTAAATGTACAGGAGAACCGCTGCGACGGGGAGAGTAAATTTGGCCAAAATTCTCCCTACTGTAGACACCATTCAGCAACATCTAAAGAGGGTCTATTTTCAAGTACAACAATGGCTGCACGGAGACCAGCTGACCATGGACCCAACAAAATGGGGGTGGAGAAAGGAAGGCGACACACTAGTGCCAGTACAGATGGAAGAAAAACCTGCGCCCAATAATATTATGGAACTAATATTCTGTGGATGCAAAGGAGATTGTAATCTGAACATCTGCAGTTGCAGGAAGCACGGCCTACCTTGCAATCTTGCCTGTAAAATTTGTGAAGGTTCAACTTGCCTTAACACTGAAAGGTATTCAGATGAAAACGTTAATGTGCCAGAGACAGAGGCCTCAAATGAGGGAGATGTTTCCCGTATGAATACATCAGTAGATGACGAAGAAAATGACCAGACACATTTGAGTTATTAATTAATTAAGGAACGACAAACTTACAGGTTCATTGTATTCGATTTGAGGCCAATAAAAATTGTTTTACCGTAAAGTACATAAATATTGCGTTTCTATTCATTCTCTTTTCTTTCCTCCTCACGAATCAAAAATTGCACACACACCTATTGCAGTATTGACGTCTCGGAGATGACGTCCAGGTCTAGGTTCAGACGCACCAGGTGTCTATGCGGTGTTCGCCGATGCCATATTTGAATTCAGCGACTCAAAACCCCCCCTTTAACGATTTTCGGTTCGTCTTTTTCAATTGGGTTTGGAATAACCTCGGTTAAGACGTTAAGAGCCAAGTTAGTGCACACCAGGTGTTCGGGTAGTCATTTTCCACGTGAAATTCGTATTCAGCGCCCCAAAAAACCCTCGTTAACGATTTTCGGTTCGTCTTTTTCAATTGGGTCTGGAAACCCCTCGGGGATGACGTTTCGGTAGACCAGGTGTTCAGGGGGTCGTTTTCGACGTGAAATTTAGATTCAGCGCCCCAAAAAACTTGCTCAATCATTTTCGGGTTGTTCTTGTCGATATTGTGAGGAAAATTCTCGGAGATGACGTCCAGGTCGAGGTTTGGGCGTACTAGGTGTTCGAGAGTCCCACGAAGATGACGTTCGTCGACGTTCCTGAGCTCCAAGTCGGGTGTGGGTCAATTTAGACATCATAATCGTGAGCAGCAACCTCGAAAACCCCCAAGCACTCGATCTGGGCTAGTTCTGACACTTATTTAACAAGTTTTGAAATCATCCAATAGGCCTCTCAAATAATGCATTTTTGAATGAAGGAACTTTTTGCTTTATTGCCTCGACTACCTATATCACAAAATAGATAAACTAAATTTTCATTAAAATTTGTTTTTATACTTTTAGTATGCAATGAGTCTACTGTATACTTGCGCTCATCTTCCTTCTTATTTTCCAAAATTTTACTTTTATCAATCTTTGTACGCTCTTCAGCCTCCACCTCTGCTTTAAAAAATTTAACAATCCCTGCAAACCATTTACGTTTTGTTTATTATTAGCAATGCGGTGTCATCCACAAAAAGCATAGCTGTATATTTATCCCTAGTTTTCCTAATGACTCTAATGCCCTAAGTTGCGTTTCTAATTTGTCATATAAGGCATATAAGGCGATACCTGAAATTTCCGCTGAAGCTTGTTGGTTTAAAACCAAATTTAATAACGCCCTAATAAAAACTTCAATTAAAACCTAGTCCCTCGTAAACCTAGCTTTCATATTATAACTAGCCCCTAAAGGTGGAAAACTTTTGATCATATTTCTTATGCTTGTGCTTTCCTCTGTTTCCTGGAGCAGGTACTGAAACTTATCATCCGCTGATATATAGGGATCCTCATTTATCTTTATATTTTACGATATCTTTTCTCGGGGCCTTTTCTTCCATAAGTTCTGTTGTAATTTTTTTCAATTATGCATTCTCCAACACCATGATGTCTTTAATATTATTATCTAAGATGAACACACATTCAGCTTTATCATCTACGAGTAATAGTTTCTGTAATCGTTATGCACTCCTCTTATCTACGCGTACACTTTTAATTATTAATTCATCTATGTTTTTGATTATTTTTCTAAACCCGTTCTTTAAAATCTCTGGCTCTACTTTAAAACTCTGCATTTTATCAGGGATAATGTTGATAATTAAACGACATTTTGAGTTTTTAAAATGTTATATTTAATGACTGACAATATATTTTTCTTGGCGTTAAAACAAAATTACAGGGTTTCCTCAAAAATATAATACAGTATTTTGATAAATATTAAAATATTAAAACACAAACTATTCCTAACAATTTTATAAAAGTGACATGCCTAAAATGGTTATCTTTTGACAATACATAAAACCGTGACGAGGACTGGAGGTGGAATAAAAATAACGGTATCATAGATATACCGTTATAACCTGAATAAATTTGCCTCAACTTGTATCGTTTTTCAGATATTCGTGTGCTATATTCTAAAAGATGTACTGAGTTTAGACTACTCAAACTACCATCAAGGACCTGACCATGTAGAACACAAGAAACCTATAATCCCAATTTTAAAATTCATCACAGAACAAAGTCACAACGGATGGAAGTACAGGTAAGATTGGAAAAACCGTTTCTCTCTAAATCATTACCTTGCAAATTTATGTTGCCATCTCCTTAAAATTTTTTGAAGAATAAATTTTAAAATTTTATTTATATTTAACTATTTATTACATCTTTTACCATATTCTGTAAGTTAATCCATATTTTATATTTTCAATATTTCGCATTGCTCATTTTAAATACGTTCACGTTTAGAATAAATGAAATTTCTGAGGAAAGCAATTTGCTACATATCGCGCCATATGACACATTTTACAAAAATGTACTTTAATAATAAATGCTTTCAACTGCCGGAATTTACTAAAGTGAGGTGTTTAGAAAGTTTAATTCAGTTTCTATACATACCTATAAAGGATTAATTTTTTAGTTAGAAACGCAGAACATATGTTCAATTGTTATTGAATATTTAAGATTAGTTAATAATTTCTTCTTAAGTTTAAACTTTGGACGTGTTGTAAGAATGTTCTTCTGATGTTTATGTTTTATGTTTTACCTATATCTAATAAAATAATATGTAATTAACAAGCTGTCAGAAATTATTGTAAATCCAATACTTTGATTACTATACGGGGCAACAGAGAGGTCCGACACGCCCAACATAGGGCGCGGCCATTTTGAACCTTATGACACAGTTTATAGCCAAAGAATCAGATCGCTCACTCTGCGTCGACAATTTTTATCTCAATGTTCCAGTTTATACACTGCGCAACTCAGATAATACAATATACGACAACCGCCTATAATAAAACAGCAGTCTTCTGCGTATCCTGAATTTGTATCCCTGGAGTGGATGTTATTTGCCAAGATCTAGGCAACACGTAATAAGGGTTCAAAATGGCGGAGTTTTCTATCTCCTTTTAAAAGGCACTCAGAAAGCTGCGCAGTGCGAGCATTCTCCGTATAGTAAAAGAAAATCAAAGTATGTGTTATCAGTGTCAGTGAATATTATTTTTGGAGTCACAGTTTATTGCTAAAGAATCAATTAACTCACTCGGACCAGTTGAAAGTTCCAAAATAACATCCACTCCAGGGATACAAATTCAGGAAACCTAGAAGACTGCTGTTTTATTATAGGCGGTTGTCATATATTGTATTATCCGAGTTGCGCAGTGTATAAACTGGAACATTGAGATCAAAAGTGCCGACGTAGAGTGAGCGATCTGATTCTTTAGTTATAAACTGTGGCATAGGAATCAAAATGGCCGCGCCCTATGTTGGGCGTGTCGGACCTCTCTCTTGCACCGTATAGTAAAGAAAATCAAAGTATGTGTTGTAAACTATTAACAACTATAAAAAGAGTGATACATTTTCAATGAAGATTAAAATTTAAATCCTAAATGCATTCTGTGACTATATTTCTACAAACTTTTTATGATATTGCATATTGTGAAGAATTATTGCTTGGATGGGCTTCAAAATTACATAGAATATTCATTATTGGTTATCAGTTTTTTTTTTTAATTCAAATTCTTCAATTTGAAAGTGTTAGTTCGGATATCTATATATGACCGCAATATTAAGAAACTGCGTTTTTATTTGGGTAATTATAGTTATTTAAAAATATTTTAAAAGGTGCGCGTCTCTCCCCTACATAACTAAGGACTTTTTACTTCTAAATTACATATATTATGAGACTCTATATTTTTTTCAGTTAAGGTTATGTGAATTGTTCAGTTACGATTTAAATCAACTATGTAATTTAAATTTAAATAATTTTGAGCCCTACTTAATTAGGGCTAAAAGAAAATCACAACTACATAACTGAACGTAAAATCACGAATTTTTTTCCCAAAAACCCAGAAAAAAAAGTAATAGGAAAAAGGTAGATACTGACTTCAAACAAATCCAGACCAAAACATTTACTTATCTAAGACTATTTATTTATTACTCCGTAAAAGTAATATTATTGAAAAATGTATTTATTAATTTACAATTTATATTTATATTGTTTTCGAATCAATAATCGATAGTTTTTCATAAATATAACTTTAATTAGATTGTGCCTTCATATTTTTTAATTATACTGATGCATGTATTTTATTTACTTATCTAGTTATGAATCCGGAAATGGCATCCACGCAGAAGAAACAGGCTACATCAAAAACAAAGGCGATAAAAAACACGAGTCATTAGTGCAACAAGGCACAGTAACTTACCATGATGAACACGGCCATCCCATAACCCTCCACTATATAGCTGACGAAAACGGATTTCGCCCCCAAGGAGAACACCTCCCCACCCCACCACCTATTCCAGAAGATATCCAGAAGGCCATGGAACAGGAGGATGAGAAAGAAGGTCAAGGACAAGAAGTACTACATATTCAGGTTAATGAAGCAGAAGAAGAATCCGATGGTAAAGAAGATTACGAGCAAGCGCAGGCCTATGCTGAATCACAAGTTCACAGTAAAACGCATGCTTATGAATCTGAACCGCTATACGTAAACGGGCAAGGATATGGACAGGATTATAGGAGAAGGCAGAATTATGGAAGACAAGGTCAACGCCAATTTCAACGGTTTGTTATTAAAAATTAGTTTAGTCGTTTTTAAATTGTTTGTTATGTTCATTTTATGATTATGTTAGAGAAGATATTGGATTGTAAATGTGCGAGTTTTTCTTGAGAGTTCATGATAAAAACTATTACATAATCTTTTGATTTTCACACTGTACAAAATAGGCTTTTAAAGCAATCCAATTGATCACTGCCTCCTTCACCTCTGAGCAAATTTTTATTATTTTCGATTGTGGGCTACATACTGGCTTTAGTTTGTCAGTGATAATATTGGCTAAAGAGGAATGATTGTAAATATTTAATGAGAGAAGCAATTAATTCCAACGTGTACTTACTCTCTTCATCTACATTTTTCGTAAAATTGTCTGAAACAATCAAAATCTTACCGTATTTGCTTTGTAAATAAAAGACATTCCGTTTACTTGCATCACGAGACTTTGGTGCATTGTGAGATAGTATATTTTCTGACTGAGACCACTTTGATAACTTATCACTATTGAAAATCCATTTCAAGCCCCACCTATTTAATTTTTTGTCTTCGCTATACCAAAGAATACCTATCCAAGAAGCGAAACTGAATGAGTTTTCGTATGTACCAATGCATGGGAACTTAATACACTGGGAAACGTATGAAAATTAATAAATTTAAAGTAGTATTAAACACATACTAAATTAACAATGGGTTCGTTCACCGTCATCAAACAGTTTCGTATGATTACGAATCGGTAAAAGGTAAACGAGCAAACTCGAAACAGCTTTTTTGAAACTGTTTGTTAAAACGTAAAAGCGCAAATTAAAGTCGCTTCTACGTTAAACAATCAGAAGTATGCCAAATGGGAACTAAAGAAAGGGTTATGTCAGTGTTGTTTTCGCAAGTTGAAGTAAAATGCGTTTTAACATATTTTCCCGTAAAATAATTTCAATACCTGACTCAAAATGTTTGAAATAATAAATGATCCTAGGTTAATTTAAAGTAAAAACTCTATAAAGATATGTCAAATTATTTCAAATTTCAACCCGTCCTTTGTTCGTTCGTCGTCATCTAAAGTAACCATATTTTGAAAATTAGAAAGTGGGATAAATCAAAAACATTGCGATTAGGAGATTTTTGTTCAAAGAATTCTATTTTTTGAAGTAGTGAGGGTTCATTGGAGAGCAAAAAAAACGTCACCATAAAGGCTTAAAAGCGGGATAAAATCGGGACACATCTTAAATCGGGACCAGTGATTTAACATCGGGACTGTCCGACCTAAAACGAAACGGATGGTCACTTTACCGTCATAGCAACTGTTTACACGAAGCATAGAAACGTATGATTGCCAAGTACGGAAACATCTCCATATTATGGGGCTGTCAGAATCCGCACCCTGCAGGGGGTGCGAACAGGAAGATGTGACCATCAAGCATATCCTGTACGATTGCCCGACGCTCTCATTTATTAGAATATTTGTTTCAGGCGAGTATTATCTAACACCGACCAATAAATAAGAAGCACCTCTTGGCAACGTTGTCAACTACATTAAACCTGAAGGCTAGATCACGAGCTAGGAGGTGCCTATCCTATTTTCCATATATTCATATTTTCCATTGTGCTCTAGAATATAGAATGGTACTATAAAAAATCAATAACATCCATAATTATAAAACAGAAAACTAGTTTAATTTTATTTTCTTTTCGAAAAGTTTGGTTAGAATTTTATTCCTCTTCTATTTTATCTATTTATGAACCATCAGCAGTTTTAAAAGCGTTCCAACTCATTTTCGATTCCAAAACCGTTCAGTGATGGACTTGCTCGTTCATAAACTGATGTTGATATGATACAAGAACGGTACCAAACACCAAGTTGGAATAAACCTAATATACCAAACGTTGCTCTACATAAATTGACAGCATGTTTGACGTTAAACCACCTCTAAAACACTGAGAAAACTTGGCAGTTTTTTGTCCACGAATTGCCCATTTAGTTTCGCTTCTTGGGTAGGTATTCTTTGGCTATACACAGTCACTTTACCGTGTCTTGTCACTATTCTATTATAATTTATTATGCAGGCAGATACCTAACATTTACGTGGATTTTGTAAAAACTACAAGTATAAATAAAAAAGCCGGTAGATAGGGAATAATGCAAATTATTGCAAGTATTATTTAGTGTGCCTTTTTTATATTTTGCTTATCAAATCCAAGTTATGAAGCACAGGAATTACATAGACATCATAATATTATAATAACACTTTCTTGACAAATTCAGCATGGATATCGATACAATGTAGTATTGTGAGGTTATATATAACCACCTATGTTGCCAAATGGACTATTTTATGGCTCGAAGTTGAAGTAGGCAGTGATATGATGTATTTTTTAATACTAATGCAAAAACTAAATTGACAGCTGGATACATGCTTGAAAAACCATTAGAACAGTATGTTGAGTTGAGTACCGTCAGTTGTACCTATTCTACAAAAATTACCAATTTTTGTTGTAAATATTAAATGCAACCTAAAAATGGAATAATTTTTGCAAAATATAGCCAAAATTTCTTTTATTTATAGACTTTTAAAAATATATATACTTAATAATCAAGACATATATTTATTGAAAATTTTAAATTAGTGCAGAAAAAATCAAGTGTTATTTTCTTCTCAAAACTAAGTATTTAAAAAATGTTGCAATTAATATAAAATAAATTGTAAAATAAAAATAATATTTATTTTAGAACGATTTGGAATAAAGAGTATACTGATTCATAACAAATTTAAATTATATTTTTTTTTATTAGTATTTGTTTACTATTATTACTGAGTTTTATTATTTATTACAAAAATTATTAGATTTTAACTGTTTCTATTTATTTTTATTTATATAGAAAAAATGTATTGTTATTGTTAAACATTTTTTTGTGAACTGGAATAATATTTTTAATAAATATTTTTAATTTTAAGTCTGTTTATTTGCTTACTAAAATCTTTATTTCTAAAATAACCTAATACAATAACACCCACAACTCTATCTTTAGTGGAAATTTGTACAAAAGCTGTTACTTTTACTTTCAGTATACTGCTATAACTCTGTAATAATTTGAGATTTATGTTCATAGATGGAACCCTTTCATCAGAAGGATAATACAATAGAATGTTATACAAGGAAAAAGAGTAATACATTCTCCTGTGTATTTTTCCTGTTTGACGAAACACAAGTGTAAAGCGCATAACCTGCTCTAGCCTTCATGTCGCTCAGGAATATTTTTTATTACGCCACATAGGGTATATTAAATTTCAGTTTGATTAAGGACGGGGTATCCCTGTGTATTAAAATTGTATGTGTAGACCAAAAGTTAAATCGACAGTTTTCCGAATATGTAGTGTTTAAAAATCTAATTTTTGGCCAAATTAAAAATAAAGGTCTAACTTAGGTCACCTTACTATTGAAAATTAATAAATTTATTATTTTCAATAAAAACCAATCATGTAAAATAACCCCCTTTTATTTCATCTCAAAGGTGCCGTCTAGAATTATTTTAACCTCGATGTCAAACAAATAATAAAAAAAAAATGTAATACGACCTAAGTTCAACCTTTACTTGGAATTTGGTTCACTCAGAATATTTAAATATTGTATATTTTTCAAAACGTGTAGATTTGAAATTTATAAGTCACTTTCTTTGAAAAAACATGTCAAAACGAATTTGGACCAAAAATGGCGTCTAATTTAACTCTAAATAAACCCCGAAAAATCAATAATTACTTCATGTAATGTAATAAAGATGGTGCTCCGATCGATAATATTTTGATTAGTATTTGATTATTTCCGTTTATATTAAGTGTGTTTACGGGGGATATACGAGATGATAATACTGCCTCTGATACTGTTTATATGATACAATTGGAAACGACTTTTTTTCATCGGCACTCTTTTTTCTGACCTTTTGACACGCGCCTATTTGTTATATGATGTATGATTATCGGTTATTTATCAACTAAAAGTATAGGAAATTAGTACATTGTGAATGATAATATCATTTTAATGCTATTTTTGAAACTAGTTCAAAAGTTGCATTTAACGATACTCAATGTTTCATTTTACCGTCAGTTTTAGTTTGACATATCCGTCATTTTATGTTCACAAAGCTTAGTTTCTATTCGAAAGTAAGAGAAACAGTCAAAATAAAATGCAAAAAACACTTTTTATCAATTTCGTTTATGTCAACTGAAAGCGACAATTGCTGAAGACGTAACAAATAAATTAGGTCGAGAAATAAAAAAATCTATACTATAAGTAACATACCATATATTATACCTATTAAAATAAATCAAAAATAAGAGAATATATCGTTGACGTATATACTTTTCCATCTGTGTTTAGTGATTACCAATTGCAAATTACGTATGAACATGCTTCTGCGCAAAAACCCATTATTTCAAGTACTTGTATCATTAAAGTCCATTAAATTATAATTTTTATAAATTTGCTAATCTTTGCACTTTAAGTTTCATTATATGGGGTATCCAGACATTTTAATCCTCGTCTTCTTCTATTTAAAATTATCTCAGGTGCCATATATTCCGAGTAAAATTTTTCTAATTTTTCAACCATATTTTAAAAAAAAATGGGTTGAAAATGAATTTTTTCAACAAATAGTGGATTTTCATCTCCAGTATATACTACAAAGTAGCACAATTTTCTTTGAGCTATACCTAGCTGTCCTTGAATCTAAAAGTATATAAAATCATTATTAGAAAATCAAACATAAAAAGAATATTAATATTGTAGTATCATTTCTAGCACATCTCTTAAAAATCATGAATTATTTTAACATATTGAAATTTTTCACCTGGTAAAAGTAGTTATGGTTTTCTTTTAAATGAATGTCACCATCTGCTATTTTTAAGCATGGAAATGGGTTTGAATATTAGATAATGTGCGCCAATAATGTCAAATTATGACAATTCGCAGAAAACGTCAACTTTTTATTTAGATTTTAATGTGCAAAAGCCTACCTACTTTATATATTAATCGTACAAAAA